TAATAGTAACACTCATCAACAACGATTTTTGGCCTAAGGTTACATTTGGTACCGATGTATCAGAAGGAAAAATGATTTAAGGGGGAAATGTTTTAAAGCAATCGATTAAAAACAACCACTCGCACACATAATTTTTATGTTCACTTAGGGAATGAGTGCTTCATCTAAACACCAATTTTCACCGGGGATTTTATTTCAAGCCCCAACTCTCCGTTCATTTGCTTCTTCATTTAGCGAATTGAGATGAGCTACAGTGGTGTTCATATAGGAAATACATAGATAGTTTAAGATAAGTGGAAGGAATTCCCTACAGATGTCACCCCACCAACGATCGAAGGAATCACGGTGGTCATCAGAGATAGCAAGGACGGGAAACAGCAGGATCTGGCGATACACCAGCTGAAGCACTTAGATCAGAAATGGAAGCAGCTACAAACATGCTCCACATTCTATTAAAGAGGATTTAGGAGGAATATTAGGTGCTGAAGGTCTGGAATAAGGACATCTCATCAAGATTTCAAAAGCAAGAAGCCAGAGCAGATGTGAAAACTGATCTACAGAGGCATCACACTACTGTCAGTAACAGAAAAGGTTTTTAAAAGTGTTGCTGAACCGGACGAAAGATTCAGTAGACTCCCAACTTCGAGATCAACAGGAGGAATTCCGTGAGGATAGGTCGTGCACAGACCAGATTGCGACATTACAGATCATCGTTCAACAATCAGTTGAATAGAACTCACCATTATACATCAACTTTCATGATTATAAGAAAGCATTTGACAGAATGGCTAGGAGAAAATTCTTCGACGCTATGGAGTATCTGAGAAAATCGTTAACATCATTCAGAATTCGTACGACGGACTACAGTGCAATGTCGTGCATTAAGGACAGTTAAAAGACCCATTCCAAGTAAGGACTGTAGTCAGATGCTGCCTTTTCCCTCCTTTCTCTTTCTTCTGGTGATTAACTTGATTATGAAGACCTCGACGACTGACGGAAAGCATGAAATACGTTGTACAGCTTGAAGTCAGTTGGAAGATTTCGCCTTCGCAGATGACCTGACTCTTCTATCCCATACACATCAACAAATACGGATGAAAACAACTAGTGTAGCTGCAACCTCTACATCAGTAGGCCTCAACATACACAATGGGAAAGACGAGATCCTCAAATGCAACACGGAGGACGCCAACTCAGTCATACTTGATGAGAAAACTATGGATAAGGTGGAAAAATTCACGTGCCTAGACACCATCATCGATGAACAAGGAGGATCTGATTCAGACGTGAAGACGAGGATTGGCAAAGCAAGGGCCGCGTTCATACAACTCAGGTACATAAGGCACTCAAGACAACTGTCAACTAATATCAAAGTCACAATTTTCAATACGAACGTCAGAAAAGTTAGTTTTATTGTACGGATCTGAAACGTAGGGAACTACCACAACCATCATCAAAAATGTACAAGTGTTTATACACAAATATGTACGCAAGATGCTCAATGTCCGTTGGCCGGATACCATCAGCAACAACCTACTGTAGGAGCGAATAAACCAGCCTCCGGTTGAAGAAGAAATTGAGAAAAAACGCTAGGGATGTATAGGACATACATCATCAAACTGCATCACGAAATAAGTGCTAGCTTGAAACCCTGAAGAGAAACGGAAAAGAGAAAGACCATGGAACACACTGTGCCGAGAATTGGATGCAGGCATGAATAGGATTATCAGGAACTGGAAAGAATTGGAAAGGACTGCTCAGGACAGAGTTGGATGGAGAATTCTGGTGAATAGCCTGTAATCCTCCACGCGGGGTATCAGGCATAAGTATGGGCGGCCACATCCGCATGGCCAGCCCATGCCATACCGATTAACTATTTTGAGTTCATCAGTTCCAACCTTTACTAAGTGTTGCCTTTTGGTGGTAAATTTTTATCATTTATCACACGATCTGCTTCAGGGAACCGGTTCTACCAGTTCCACCTTACTTATAAGGCAGGGAAAAAGTGGTAATCCCGTTCAAATCTGTCCACCGTTTCGTTTCGTCAACCTTGAACGGCCTGATCAGAGGCGGTCATTCTGCATTTCAGTTGCTGTGGGTGTGTTGGGTCCTATGAGGATTAAGTTTTTCCATATTTAAGTCATCTTCTGATGCATAAAAATCACAGACTAACTGCTAAGAGCATTAATTTAACATTTTCTGTTTTGTAGTGCACACGTTAGTTCTGTTGTTCCTTCGTAACTTGATCTGTGGTCCCAACTGCTATAATGAACGTCAACACCTTTATATAATTTCTTGATAAGGTCCAGAAAACAACGTAAGAAAGATAAGATAACGTAAAAAGTTATAGATACGCATAGTTTTCGTGAGTTAAGACGAAATGTCAACTGAAGGGTAAGTCCTAAATATTTGTTGTTCTTCTTTCAGTAATTTTTATTCATGGAATAACCCTTTTTTAAATAATTAATGCGTTTTGTCTGTAGTGCTTCATGCTCAAGTGAAATTTCAGTGGACCTAAGCGACGCGTTTCAACGTATTATGCTGAACAAGGGATTCGGAAGCTGGATTGAATTTGATAATTCGCTAAAGGATTTCCATAAAGTATGGTAGAATAAATCTATGTTTTTTCAGATAACCCATACACACTACGTTCACGCAGAAAGTAGATTGTTGAAGGATGTGAAATTTAAATACTTGTTCATGGTGTTTCGTTGCACGTTTGGTCGTAAACGTAAATCAGAAGGTTTGACAGTGAATAAAAAACCGTGAGGACTTTAACTAATGTGTGGCATTTAAGGTCTAAGTTTTTAAACTGCCAATCGATGTTTCGTATAAGACTAAAGGGTCAAGAATACGTTATAAAGTCTTACAACATGTCTCACAACCATCTGTGTAGTAGTTCTTGGATGGTTTGTGATCCGTGGAGTAGAAGATTGTCATCAGAAGAAAAAGAAAACTTGAAACCAGTTATATTGCACTGTCAGTCGACAGATGAAGTTGTAGAAAGTATTGAGGAGAGAACAGGTAAGCAAGTGACCGCTGCTGACGTCAAAAATATAAAAGCTGAACTCTCCACTGGTAAGTGTATATAAATATATTCCAGGTTGTACTCGGAATCAGGTAATGCGCATGATGCGACAAGACGGTGAAGTTAGAGAGCATGTAGAAAATGGATGTATTACGGCAATATGCTTCAGCGGTTATGACCAGATACGGTTGTACAGTCAATATCCCGAAGTCGTGTGTATTGATTCTACGTATAAAACTAATAATAAAAAGTGAATATGATTTTCGTTTTATTCTTCTATGTAGATATTCATTATAAATTCGAATAAAAACTATGTTACAAGCACAAGCATTACGGAAATTGATGTGTGATGGAAAAAAGCCTGTTAATAATGACAGTATGTAACGTGTGCGCGCAAACCAGTGGCTTACCCTCCAGTCCGTGCCTACTTATACGTTATTGAACCTATGATTTACCCTCCCTCTAAGTGATGTGCAAAGGCTTTAGGGTGGTTAGAATAATTTTAATACAAAGATATTTAACAAATCAGGCGCGCGAAACCTGTATTATGACACATGAACATTTTATTATCCGATATAGTATAATCAAAATTACAATGCCCACATAAAATAAACAATTGAATAAATATTAAGGCTATAACGTTTAATCTTAACTGGAGATCTAAGGAAACTTATCCGTGTATGGTATTTGTAATAAGTGATGACTACTCCATATTCTTATTCAGTGGCTGATTAGATTTCCAAATATAATGCGTTCGGCACTGTAGAAAAGCGACATCTCCCATTTTTGCTCACACGCAATGTGTTTTCATGTGTATCTTGAAACCTATATGATCTCGGGCTACTTTTACAGAGAGCTTAGACGCCATCTGAAACTACATTCAGGATGCAGCCGAAACAAATGCAACCCTTCACTTTATGCAAAGACAACTTGGTACACTCGCCCCAGAATTGTTTCCTCCACATTAACACGTACCCAAAACATTACTCCAAAGTCCACAATATTGGGTCTCCACACTTCGAACGAGACATGTGTCACAAACCAAGTATAAAGACCGACAACCAAACAGGTCAAAGAATAATCTTACATAGACAGACTACGACACTTGGAATTATTCTCGCTGAGCTATAAGAGAGTGTGTGGTGATCTGATAATGATGCACAACATATGAGTATGCCAAGTCGCCCCAACACGTGCATCCCACCAGAACATTATGAGCATGCTTAGCAAACCAACCACCGGAAAACTGCACATCAAGGAGAGAAAGCTCGGTCACACTCTCATTTTTTCTCACTTAGAGTCTCTCCCATTCGGAGTGTTCTCACAACCGAAATGATCGCAGCCTCCTCAGCGCATACCTACAAGAAGAGACTTGACGAACACACGCTCACCCATAGATTACCATCTATCACTTTGACTAGCTGTGCTGGATGCATGTCTCGTAATTTATCTACTACTATCGCTATCAAATGTCATTAATTTATTTCTACCTCACTCACTGTCAACTCTGTCTCCCCTTTTCTTCCTACACTATGGTTTGCTCACGATGTTTCCATTGCTAATTTACTAACCTGTTTATTTACTTACTCCTTGAAGCGGTTGTTCACTTTTAGCATCGGAGTTTTCGTCATATTATTTCTCACATTGCAATCATCTAACCTGCTGTCTGGTAATGTGACATTTCCTGGTTCAAGAAACCTCAAGTGATCTGAGAAAAACCCACTCACTATCATTAGAAGATGTACAAATCCAAGCCATTAATAATAATAATAATAAACTAGATACCAAACTGAGTGGAAATAGTAAAGTCGAGTGGCTAGACTGTCACTCACTGAACACTGCAAAAGGCCTAAAAGCGCACAAAAACAACAAGAGGCGAAGACAGAAGAAGCAGTCGATTTACATAAGCTCATCACGAAGCGGTTGGAATTTGGATCCAAGAATGTGAAAATCCCTGTCAAGGCCATTATCACTAGTTTCAAAACGTTACTCCACCAACTCTTAGTTTTGACTGTTGGGTTGTTTCTACGTCACGGTTGTGTAAGTGCTGATTGTTGCCGGTCGGTCATCTTCAAATGGTGAGTTTGGCACCGGGAGTAAAACATCTCCAAAGATTTATGCCACCGCTTAACTCGAAAACGTAATTATTTGCTTTGTCACCATCCTATAAATTTTAGTGGTCGCGTGCATATATTTTTCTTCACTTTGGTGATATACTCGTGCTATCACTTATCCCGAAAACCGATTAGTATTGTAAAGTCAGTACTTCATCAGAATTGTTCTGAAGAAGCCCACAAAGAGGGGAAAATCATAGTTCCTGGAAACGAAACATTCTGTGACTGGGCCCCTTTTGGTATGTGTTCATAAACTGACAGCTTTGAGTCTTACTCCTTGTGTTAGATGGTCAAAATTATGATTCCCTTTTTGGGACACTTGATCTTATTTTCCTCTCCTTTTACGCCGTTAGTATGTTCTTAAGGTAAGTTGGTGATTCATTTTTGTAAACATTCTGACACGGTAGTACGGACTTACTTTTTTATTGGTCCCATGGATTGGAATTTCTTAGACAATGTTTTCGGTTACTGAATTTGCCTATTACCGCAGAATCACTTTCAAGAACTATCTTTTTCAGTCTTGCACAATGAAGCGGACAGCATATAACAGTGTATAATCAGTGTAGTGCAAGAGCTGAGTAGTTTTTGAACAGCGCTAAAAGACAAGTGTTTACAAGAGATTTATGGACAGGGGGTGTTTTTAAGTGGCCTTTATGAAAGTGAAATATTTGTGAGGTTATTGACAAAACCAAGCTGTTGTAGGAACAGTGAGTTGATGGTCAGTCGCTCGGTTATTAACTGGTAAGCCATGGGTCTGGCCCTCATCCCACCTATTTCGGGTTGAGCAATTTGGTTGTATCGCTATCCATCATACTAGTGGGGTTCAAATCTAGAGTTGTAAATCTGTATTTGGTTTGTGATTAGGTCAAGACGAATACATGAGTCGTGAGAAGTGTTGAAGAAACAACGTTCTTTTTTAGTGAGAAAAATACCGTAGTAGTCATGATTCCACAATGCCCTAATTCACATCATTGAATACTTGTCTTCTTCTAAAGATCTAGCTCCTACTTCCATCAGTCGTACTTTATTTGGACGCATAAACATTCATACGAAGGGTCACCTAGAAATGTGTCCCACTAAGTGGTTATCATTCAATTTATGTAGGCTGGGATACTATCCGAGTGCCCAAACCAAAGGTTGTTTTTCTTAGGGGTCATCTCCCGAGCCCTTGACCTAGAGGTCTAATCCACAATGCAGTGAAACTGAGTCAGATGCGATCTTATAGTAATCACTAGCCAAGAATAAGTTCATCCACCACTCGACCTCCCAGGATCCTGAAGCCTGTGTACACCTCTGACTTGGAATCAGGTTTTGCAAACTTCTTTAGGTGTATCCGCCGTACCCACCAAATCGGTTTAGCCTCCAGATATTTACTTTCTGTCCTCTCACTTCCGTAAACAACTCCACCGCGGCGAGAAAGCAGTGAGTAGAAATTTCCCGGCAGTGGCTTTATTTGTGTGGTTACATGAGAGAATTTTGAGAGGGAGAACAAACTCTCTCCACTCTTGGCCATATTAGGGGATTGTGGGGCACTTACATCAAACGATATTCGCTACCTCGCAACATATAGAAAATCAGTTATCCCAATCTCATAGTGTCACGACGGCTCGCTAGTATAAGTAACTGCAGCGTTCAGAGATTGTCACTACATCGTTTCTGACAACTGAATATTTTAGTAGCTGTAGATTAAGCATTTTTTCAAGGAATGACAATCAGGAACAGAAGACTAATAACGACCAGATAAGTGGTTTTTAAACAGGTTCTCCCATTCAAAATCAAAGTCTAGCAAAATTCGTATCATGAAAATCTCCAACAATCAAACTTGTCCTTCAGTGTTCAAAAGCAGTCTTCCATTTATTTCCTGTGGTGTTGGTTTACTACTAACGTGCCCTTCAAAATGATCTGTCATGAAGTTTGGAAACGTCTAAACATGCTTACAGTAAATTATGTACAGTTTAGTGCTTCTCTGTTTAGAAGTCCGCGTCCCAGTCAAGCATTTTTGTCTGTAGTTTCACTACGTGAACAGTTTTTGCAAAGCACATGATAAGCTATATGTAACCTCTCGTTTTTTTTTACCATCAACGGTTATACCTTGCAACCAGAGTTGGAAGAACTACTGCAGCTTAGTATACTAGTTATTTAAAGAAAATCGCTGTCTCGAACGTTACGTGTAAGGAAAGTTAACAAATAACGAAGAAGTTCGTTCATTCCTAATAAGCTTTCACTGGTCACAATGTGGTTAGGATTAACAATTCTCAAATAAGTGGAGGAAATATGACATTTAATAACTTCACATATTAGCGTAAATGTTAAGCTAGGTCAATCCTAAACCATCATTTAAAAACATTTGTGAAAATATTCATTTTAGGGTCATTTCTTTAGGTGTTGCCAAACATTTTCAGCTTCATGTTTAGTTCAAAAACTAAGCCAAAAACCACCAATTTGTAGAACAAACTTCAAGTTGCAAAACATGTTTTGATAAAAAGGACTTAAATGTGTGCAAAGGTCCTACTACATAAGGGTGTTACGATAGCATTTTCAAGGTGAGTTTAACCACCTTCCATTTTTCCAGTTCGTTCTGTATTCATTAAACTGAAGTCACGTTAGAAATATGACGATTACACATTGGAAAGTATGACGAAGCCCTTCATTTTTCTATTGAGACTCAAATTAAGTTGTCAGGCAGTTGGATATACTCTTGGTCAACGAATTTATCGTAACCAATGATCAGAGACTTTGAATGATATGGCTCAGAATCGTTTACCGTGTTGTAAGTGCACTCACCCTTTGTCGTCCCTGAAATCCTGAGCTTTTGAATTCGCTATAACTCTTTTGTTTCACTAATTTATATTTTCTCGAATGGTATCTTTGATGTCTAATCTTTTCTATCACCGCTCATACTATTACTACCTCTACTCTTCGGGTGCCTGGCCTGATAGTTTAATCTTTCTGTGCTTATTGGATGTGGGAACTCAAACCAATATACATACGTACCAGATTCCACATTTTCAATGACTGATTGATTGAGTATGGTCTCAGTATAACCTATTCTTTTTCCCATATATATATGAATTTTATTATAGTGGACATGTTGCCGATAAAATTGACCTTAGAATTTACCTATGCATTGGTACTCTTCTTTCTGGTGTCACGACAATAGCCTTTGGTCTTGGATACTTTTTCAATGTTCACTCGTTTGCTTACTATGCAGTTACTCAGGTAAGCAGACATTAATAACATGTGTATAAAAAATTTTCGGTTATGGGGTTGTCGTAGTAATTTCTTTAGTATATTTACAGTGCGGTAATCTCTCATTTTGAGCTAATATTGACTTAGTAATCTTCATTATTTATTATCATATACGTTTAGATGTTTGTATACTCACTATTGCCTGTTAGAATTACTTGGTAGATTTTGAAGTAGGTGGAAAGTGAATTAACACTTAGATTAATCCATCTTATCGGTTTGCCTCTAGTTTATTCTGTGATGCGTTTGTGTATTATTTTATTGTTTAAAAAAATAAACCAATAAGTAAGTGTGAATATGTTTGCCTATGAATTCATTTACATGGATTAACTGGATCGTTTGCTTCACGTGTGCTCATTTTCAAGCCGTGTTGTCTGTATATGGTTTTGTTTACAATCAGTAATGCTCCTATTATTTCGACTCCTTTGTTGTTCATCTTGTCAATTTCATGTCAATGTGTTGATGTGTCATGGTTGGTTGGAACACATGACAAGGCCATTGCTTTTAGCTAAATACATCCTCACTACACACAAACTTACAGGTACTTTTAGTGCAGACAGAAATGATGAAGAGTTCTTTTTTGTTGGTATTAAAAGATTACATTGTGAACTAGTTGTTCCAAGCGATTCCTAAAATGGTAAGCAATAACAAGAAAGCCGTACGATAGTGATCAATCGAAAAGAAGTCCGGAAGCAAAAAGCACAGATGAGATACTACACAACACTAAGACAGAGCGAAAACTATTCTTTTAACAGACGACTAAAATAATGACGTAATACTTTGTTGGATTCATACACCCTGTACATTCAGTCAAACATTGTGATACTAGAAGAAATTAACGGGCAATACGGTTCGCAACCGCAAATATCTATATCAAATTAAAGTCTTGTCGAGGTTCATATAATTCAGATGTAGTTTTCATCATGGATACCTGCTACAATCCTACTGGAAACTGATGAATAATTAGTATTCACTTTATCCAACCTTGAGACAACATCACAGTGTGTATTATCGACCGATACAGGGTCAAGTCAATCGGCTTCCAAGTCTCGTGATGACCACGATATTCTTGAATCACCATATTAGAACTCAATGGCTCATAGTTTGTAACTCTTATCAATATGAGATAAATCGTGAGTATCGTTTAGTGTCATCCGATGAACATCCGTTTCACTCCACGCATGACTAATTTCATGGCTTCTAACTAGAGGTTCGTAGACGTTCTCATTTGAGCCATCAATAGTTACCACAAAATATTTAGATTTAAAAAGGTTGATAGCTTAAACATTCTTAACTCGTTTATACGAATATTCGTCATCAATAGAATTTAATAGTTTGAAAAAATTGGGCGCCGAATATAGAGAAGACATGTGAAAATTATATTTAAGATAATCTCAGCAATTGAAATTTAAATAATTCCAACGTTTCACCCAGTAAACTTGTCTGGACTTCTTCAAAACCATCAAAGAAATATATAGGGTTAACAATGTTAATCCAATCGTTTTTGGATGTTTATTTTAGTAAATTGGATAACATGAGTCAGTTTAATGTGAATCATGTAAAAAGTTCACGTTGTGAAACTAAATGACTGAACGAATTGTGTATGTATGTGTAAGATTGAGTTATTAATGCTTGATATTCGGTGTTAATATGTTTTATGTGAAGGAAAAATAAAAGTTTCGATAGTGTAATAAGAAGACGAAGATTATCAGAACTATGTGATATATTAGCGCAATACATTTCGATCCATCTGATCACACATATACTTGTTAAGAACATTTATATATAAAAATAAAAGGTCAACTAGACTAGAAGTGAAGGGTTAGAGGAGTCAGAGATAATAAGGAAATAATGTGAAAACAATCTGAAACCTCATCACTCTGGATAATGAGCTAATATTACCAGGGTAGGTTTAAGGTGAGAACAAACTGTTTTTGAATACACAAAGGGGGTTGGAATTTTCGTATTCAATTGTCTGGATGTTTCTCCCACATAAGCTGCATTACAATCATGGCAGTTAATCTCATAGACAGTATTTTGTTGTTCTTCCTTTGGGAACCTATCCTTAACCTTCACTAATGCCGATCTTATGGTGTTACACGCCCGAAAATACACTTATGTCATGTTTGTTTAGAGTCCTCTTGATTTCTCCCGATGTTTCACTACGGTATGAGATGACCACGGTGAACTTCCAATCTTTCGGTATACATTCTAGTTTCATTTTTCTTTCATTTCTAATAATCTTCTTTAACAACTCTTTTGGATAGTTGTTATCCTTAGGTGTAAACAAAACTATTCAGTTCAACTTGTTGGTCTTCCTTATCTGTAACGAGCTTAATACTTCTGTTGATTAATTTTTTTACAACAGTGACTTTCGTACATAGCGTGTGAGCCGAACCATAATCTAAGTATCTCTCAGAATGTGTTGATTTCCTAAATACATTTATTTTCAACTTATTATTATATCTTCGTCCAACCAAACAATCGAGAAACGCTAGATTGCGGTCACTGAATTTTATTTCCTTCGTTAGTTTAATGCTCTCCGAAATGTCGTTTACATCTCCAAACAATTCTTCCAAACCATCCCACTTAGTGATGATAAAAATGTCACAAAAATGACACACTTCTCGCGATTGTACTGGTTTGTATTGAATGCATGAATAAATTCGCTACAATCGAAGAAACTAATGAACCCCTTGCTATACCTGCTTTTTGTCTGCGAAGGTCTCCTCGAAATACGAATTAGGTGGACCTTAGACATAATTCCAAGTATTTGATAACGTCAGATGTATCTAATGGGGATCGTAAATTCAAATCTGAGTCAGATTCTAAACAGTCAAACAATATCCAACACTATTGACAGATACATTAGTAAATAAGGAAGATACATCAAAACTTACCAATATTTCATCCTCTTCTATATCGATGGTATCGATAATATTCTTGAATTCCAGAATCTGTAACTCTATGATTAATCAGTTTACCATACAGTTTAGGTATCCTAGTTAAGTATTTCGCCAGATTGTATGTCGGTGAATTTGTAAAATCGACTCCTGCTCTTAGTGGAGTATTATTCTTGTAAATCTTTGGAAGTCTAGAGTCTTCAAGGGTTACAGCTCTTTGAATATAACATCAACCATAATGACGATCCTAGTTTAACCTTTAACGATTGTAAGATTTTACTGGTTTCATCCTTAAGTTTATTAAGCGTCATCCTACTTTTTATTAAATAAAGAAACGAAAAGTAGGGTTTTCATTATCCACCCGGCAATTTTTGTAAAAATTTTTTAAAAAATCCCCCCCATTAAAAATTTTTTCAACCCCAAAATTACAATATTTTTCATCCCGTTTCGTCCAATGAAATGGCTAGTTTTAAAATTCGTCTTAATTGGTTAGTTATGTCTTGTCGAATTGTTATAAAATATCAGTACTTGTCGACGAAGTACATTTTAATCATCATTACGTGCCGAGTGCAAGCACTGTTGTTTCTCACGTAACAGAAACGGAGGAAGTCTTTTTGACAACATTGTTTCTCGTTGCGTTCCCATCGCTTGAAGCGTTAAAGTCCGCTATCACAAATTATGAAAGATCGACTTACTGTCATTGTGTAGTGAGAGATTCGTATTTGGGCAGAGATGAAAATTCGTATATTAGATTTGTGTATTGGAGAAATGGCCGTCTAAGATCTAGCGGTTCGTCACAGCGGATTAGACGGAGGAGGTAATTTGGTTAATGTTATTATAATTTTCTTCACGAAGGGCTTCCATGAACACTCAATGTCCGGCCTTCATGTTTTGTAAGATTATAGACGGCTACTGGACTGTTGTACGTGGGAATGTGCATCACAATCACGAGTGCAATTCCCTGAGATTGAGATATCAAAGTAATTCATAGGTGCGCAGGTTAACGGAGGCCGAGTTTGAAACTGTGCAACCGCTGCTGATATCTGGTACCGCTGCATTCCACATTAAGAATTATGCTTACCATTCTTATGGGAAACGTCTGAATGATCAAGATATCTTTAATATGCGGTACAAAGTGTTCTCACACGCGAACCTTCCTGGTAAGCAATTTGCCAATTTATAATGTAAACGATAGGTGATTACGGAAAATTAAAAGCTCACATAACATCTTTGGGTGGGCTTTGCGAATACGAATTAGACGATGATAACTGTCTATCGTATTTTTTTCTTCACGACTGGTGATCAAATGATTTTGGCAGGTCGTTTCTTTGATGTTATTGGTTTGGACGGGGCATACAAGACGAATAACGAGAACATCTATTTATATCAGGTCGTCGCCCTTGATATGAATTTTAAGGCAATACCTGTTTGTATTTCATTTATAAGTCGCGAAACATCGACTTTTATTTCTCGATTCCTGTTGTTTTTCCAACGGTCAACCAACAGTCGACAGGTGGTAGGCATTGTGACGGATGATTCACCTGCAATAGCTGCTGCCATCACGCAGGTGTATCCAAATGCTCACCATATTTTGTGTCGTGTACACCTTGTTCGCAATGTTATAAAGAGGGTAAGTGTTTCGTTCATTGACATTAACCCACTAACCGTAATTGTAGAGGGTACGATCAGAAGTGATATAACTTTTTTTTCGCCTGATGTTCACTCGAACGGTTGAAAGGTAAATCAAAAGCTACATAACATTATTTTGTAGTTTTAACAATGTATTATCCTTAATCGAAATATCCGACGGAACGTTTGTCCGATATGTTAGAGACCACCTACTACCGAGAAAACACAAATGGTCTACTGCTTTTCGACCATCAGCAACGCTACTTCAACTAAATAATACGGACTTCGTTGAGACAAGTCATCGAATTTTGAAGGTGCATCAGCTGAATCGAAAAACACCGGTGCTGAGATCTATTTTCAGTGTGCTACTTCGCACTGGATATTGGATGGAAGCAAGATGACAGAAATATACATCAGATTGTCGGATAAAAGCCAACATTA